CCTGCAGTGCAGCTGTTCTAAGATACACGTGGGAGGATCAGTTTGGCGACAGCTGTTATCAACAGTTTCGCATTATATTGTGGTGTAAATTTGTCAGTGTATGGGAAGGTGGCTGCCAACAAGGATAATAGTTGGGAGAGCGTTGGGCAACTGCAAACTGTAATGTCATAACCTGAAGAATGACTGAAACGGGTGATTCCAGCGTGAGCGTTGGAGTCGATACGTCGCTTTCGCTGTGGTTTTTCTGGCAGCGTTCTGATGAAATGCACATCCTGGATTATCTCAAATCTCCTGCTTTGCTATAGGCAATATATGGGCTGTTTGGTATGAGATGAGAAATTGGCTCAGAAAAACAAAAAAAAAAAAAAAGGAATCTAAACTTAGTCATTGTTTGGTTTACAGAATTCCTCCTATGCAGCATGGGATTATCCAGAGGGCTATTACTTAATTTTTATGGTCACTGGGAGTCTTGGGTTTTCAGATTATTTAATTTATTTAGCTGACGTGTGATGCACGAAGTCTGCACGACAGAGCGTTCTCTTTGTAGGAAAGAAGAAATGAAAATAATTGCCCTCAATTTATTTGCCCAAAAATTATATCCGAGTTTTCAAAACTGCCAATTTCTGCTGCTTTCCATGACTATGTATAGTTTCATTATGGATATTACATGTTAAAGAATTGTTGAATTTGCTATTAAAACAGCTGCTGATATTTTGAAACTCGCACTCCATTCACTAACTTTGCTTTAACAGAAACCTGGCAAATGAAGATGTGGTTCATGGTGTGTTTCTATTTGACAGACTTTTCCCCTTCAATACTCACATTTTAAAATTTCAAATCACTTTGCAAAGTTTGTTTTTTGTTAGGCAGGACTTTTTACAGACTGGGGAAATAAAAGCATGTAAGTTAGCTGCGTTCCCAAGGTCATGCGAGGCCAAAACTTGCTCTGTTACTCTAATGCTATGAGAACAGAACTGGGCACAAAATATCTATGTGGAACTTGAATCTCTTGCTTCCTCTTCTGGTGCTTTTAATTACAAAACCATGAAAGCTTATTCTGAAGACTGCCATCAAATTAATTAACCCTTAATATGCATGCAGTTCTATAGGAAAAATGTTTTGCCTTGAAGATAAATTTTCCGTGAATCATGGTACATGCAATTTTTGGCCTTGTCTGTATGGATGGAAAAACTAGTTTTTGTAAATCTAATATGGGTAGCATAAACGTTGAGGGGTATTTTTCTTTTGTGTTTTTGCAGGTAAACGACCTCTGCTGGCATGTGCGCTGTCTCTCATGCAGCGTTTGCAGAACGTCTCTAGGAAGGCATACCAGCTGTTACATCAAAGATAAAGATATATTCTGCAAACTTGATTATTTCAGGTATATCATACAGGAATATCATTTTATTAGATAACATGTTTCACTCGCTTGTTACTTTTCACTTAAGCTGCAACTAAAACGCACATTTAGGCTCTTTGGTTTTCACTGGCTTTTATTTTCAGTAGTTAAACTCTGACATTTCTTGCTGAGGGACTGGGGAGCCCCCGAGTCTGTGCAGTGTAACACCTGCCAGGTCTCCCCCTCTGCCCCTCCGTTGTTATGCATAGCTACTGCATTTATACAGTAAGTTACTTCGGCCCGCGTGGGGGGCAGGGGGGGAGTGAGTCAGAGTCCCTGCCACGGTAAGGTTGCAAAGCTATCGTACGTGCAAAGAATCATCCTTAGGTAACGCCGATTAAGAATACAAGGTAGAGCTGAGATGGTATTCTCTTTGGACTAGCACTCCGCAGGTATGAGGCTTAGGGTATCACGTGGAACTACAAAAACAACCCAGAATAAATCCCGTGATCTTTAAAAGCAGCTTTGGGCAGCTGTACCTTTCTGTGATCAATTTGATTTGGAACATGAAGCATTCTTCAAGATTAAGGTCTAATCCTGTAAGGAAGAATATTATTTATTCATGCTGGTGTTGAAAGTACCCATGATACAAAATCTTGAAAGCAGCAAAAAACTTTGCTGCTGATTTTGGTGTGATTGCTAGTACTTCCTCAGACCAAACTATTGACGGGATTCTCCCCTGTGTAGTGAATGGATTATGTCCAGCTGGTCAGTTCCGACACTGAAAGAGAGGGAGGGGGTGGGGTGAATACTGGGAACTTCTGGAAGAGCAAAGTTTTGTAGGACTTCAAAAAAAAGAGCTTAGAATCTGCGAAGATTTTCAGGACAAATTCCTATCTGCATAATCAACATATCTTGGTGGCTAGTTTCCTCTTCAAAGAGAAGTGTTCTACTGCAGTAATGTAAATACTTGCAGATATTTGAATTTCTTTTAAAATCATAATGTGATGGTAATTAAGGAAATAACTATGAAGATACAGGTTTTCCCCCTTCTTTTGCTGAAGGGGACCAAATGATTAGTGAAGGATGATGGAGCTAAATATAACAATTCAGACTACCACTAGAGTAATGTGAAATATATTTGAATAATTGGGAGAATTTTGAACACAAAGTCAGCTGTTTCCATCTCCCACTCATAGCTTCTTAAAGAGTAATTATCTTTATAAAAGGAAAGATGAAGAGTTGTGAATTCAGGTAGCAGTTAAGATGTTTCGATTTCACTCCTTGCCGTATGAAAACATTAACTTCTGTGGTTCAGTAGTGGTCTTGCCTTAAGCTATCAGATACAAACTCGCTGATTTTGTTGCAATAAAGACAGAGTTACGCTGTCCCCTCATCCCTTGTGGTCAGCCCCCTTGCTGCAGGTCTCACCCCGGTCGCTTCTAACCCTCCTGGAGTCACGCTTTGCCCGAGACGGTTAGCGCCTGTGCCTTCACCCTCCTCTTGCCGGTGTTTTTGCAGGCGGTACGGCACCCGCTGCTCCCGCTGCGGGAGGCACATTCATTCTACTGACTGGGTCCGAAGGGCTAAAGGAAACGTGTACCACTTGGCGTGCTTTGCCTGCTTCTCCTGCAAAAGACAGCTTTCTACTGGAGAGGAGTTTGCTTTGGTTGAAGAGAAAGTCCTTTGTAGAGTACATTACGACTGCATGTTGGACAATCTGAAAAGAGAAGTTGAAAATGGTAACGTACTGCTTTTGTTAAGAACTATGTTTGTGGTTTAGTTTTAATTAAATTGTTGGGTTTTACTTCATCTTCCGTATTAAGAGGTAATTACCTAGCTTTACTAAGGCTGGAAGCACAGGTTCTTGAATTAAAATAATGTGCAAATTACCCAATGTTTTAATTTTTTTTAAGTTTGTATAACTTGTTTTCTATCCTAAGGAAAAGAAAGCGAGAGTATATCTAGTTGGTAAAATATCCTGCTGGATCTATTCCTTCCCTCACTTGCAAGGGAGTCAGTTGGGGTGCAATGGGTAATGGTGCCAGATCAATTTAACTTTGAACAGAATATGGCTTTTTTTAAAGTTGAAATTCAGCTGGCCAAGTACTGTTGGTTATTGTTGGAGGACAGTCTGACTTACGAATAACATCGTTTTGAATGTTTAGCAGACGGTGGTGTTTTCTTTTTAATGCTTCAGGTAATGGGATTAGTGTGGAAGGAGCATTACTAACAGAACAAGATGTTAATCATCCAAAACCAGCAAAAAGAGCTCGGACCAGCTTCACAGCAGATCAACTCCAGGTAGAGGCAGTGCTAAAAACTTACATAGTTCAGGTTTATGCAGGACATAGGTGCTGAAGCCATAGGAAATCGGATGCATGTGAGGGGAAGGAAAAAGCTTGCATGCTTTAAACTATTTCATAAACTATCAAGACACAGCATGTTTCTGGAATTGCTTGTTAGCTTCAGCAGTTTAATATGAAATAGTTACTCTTCAAGCTTTTTATTTCCCTGGGGGCAGCCAGTAATTCTGCAGAGTGGAAACAAAAAGGTTGTTCTATTTTGATTGCTCGATGAAATCTATTTAATCAGGCATTTACATCGCTACACATAATAAAGACAAAATATTTTTAGAATTATGCAATGTGAAGAGTTGTGCTAAAGATGGGTACTGTATATGATTTCAAGACATTAACAGGATGGAAGTTTGAATTTTGTTGTAATACACAATAAGGGCTGCAAAAGATTGTGTTCTCAAAACAGGTAAGCAGCGTGGGTTCCTGTTTATATTCATGTGAACGCAGGCTGACTCCCGTCAGTGACTGTTCCTTGTTTTGCTTTGGTTTACAGAGAAGATGGGGAATAGTTGCGCATTTATTTCTTGATTGCCCTTTTTCCTCCTAAGACGGTTCTCCTCCATACTTGCTTTTTAGATCTTGTTGTAGTCTTGGCTATACTTCTGTACACCAGGAAGAGAGACTATCAACAGGGACTCATCTTTACTTCCTTCTCTTCTCCTTCTCCCAGCCCTTCCAAAATGCTTCACGTGATGATTTCCTCAAAGTGTCTTTGCCTGTTAAAAATGTACTAAAGTCATTGTAGTCTTGGTGTCGTATTTCAAGACCTAGCGTCAGTGTCTAATGCTGCCCATTTTAGGAGAAAAAACCCACTTTTTTCATAGAGCTGGGTGGAGTGACATACAGGGAAAGTGCATTTGAAGTACTTGGCAGCAATTCTTGTTCTGTCCGATTTGTTCTTGAACATGCGTTATCGACGTATGTTTTTCCAATATCCCCTTACACTAGCTCAGCCGCTAGTTCTGTTCCTTTCCATGGTCAGGACTAGGGGAAGCAGGAGCTAGGAAGCCTGGAAGCACCAAATCGAAACCCCTCCTGTAGGGTCAAGCCTGCCCTGAAGGGGGGAGGAAGGGGGGGATTGCCTGCATCTGCTCTGCTTTCGAGGTTCTTGTCGTGCTGCTGCCTTGGCAAGAGTTAGCTCTGGACTGCCTCAATTAAGAGTTATTTCACCCTCTGGATCACCGCTTAAATTAGCTTTCTAGGGAAAAACACCAGGACTAGGGCCAGCTCCCCATGAAAGGGGTAGTGGTGAGACCAGATTTAGAGGTTTCAGCCTGTAGTGGGAAGGAAGCTGTGGCTTTCTAGCTAAGCCTTGCTACTCATCCCTGCTTTCAGTTTATAACGTCTTTGAATTTCTGGTCACACATGGCCACTACACCATTCTTTTCTACTGTCTCAGTCCGAGTTCTGTTTTGTTGGCCTGTCCTCCTCGTTTGTGGTGAAAGCAGCTGAGAAAAACTAAAGTTGAGGTGTAATAACACATGAGGCATTTAAGCAGTGCTCTGTAACATGGCATGTGGCTGCTCAAATCTTGGTTTGCTATTTCAGCCATGACTGGAGACAGAATGTGTTGTTAACACAAAACACGCATGCTAGCAATAACAGGGCAAGGGCTCTGGACATCAAGCTTGAACTTCTGCGAAAGGGAACTTTCTTTCCCAGCAGTAGCTGAAGGGGAGCTAGGCCCAGCCATCAGAGTAGGAACTGTATTCAGGGCTTCTTCCCGACTGCTGTCAGTGAAACTTCCACGTTCCCGTCTTTTCCTGTTTTAAATAGATTGTAACCTACTTCAGCAGGTGTTTGAGATCTCAGGGCCTCGTGTTAGCTAATGACACTTGCTGTCTGCTCAGTGCATCTGTCTCTGTGCCTGTCCTTGATGCTGGTATAAGACTGCTTCCAGCAAGAGAAGCATCAGAGGGATAAGTGACTGTCAGAGTGGCAGCGTGTAGTAACACACCTCGTGAAGTACTTGTACAAAAGGATGCCCGTGCTTTTTGATGTCTTCGTATGAAACAGTAGGAAAGTACACAGTTTCAGCATTTCTGAACGTGGAGAAAAGTAGTCTGAATCTTCGAAGATGAAGCTAGGCAAAATTTGCAGACCATCAAGGAACAAAATCCAGAAGTGAGAAACTACGGTTTACTAAGTTGCTGAAGACACCCTGCAGAAATCCATGAAGCCTTGCTTCCTGAAATAAGGTAAACTCTTACAGGCTCAGGAGGCAGGCCAAGTTGACATCTACTTCCTCAAAAAAATCCTAATGACAGGTGCTCTCTTCAGTTTTCTGTAAAAAGATGAGAGTAACCAAACGATTACATAGTGTGCAGGTCAGCCAGGGTGGAGCCTCTGCGTTCCTCAGGGCAATTAAAGGTAAACAAGGCACAAAGTGCTTCCCAGTTGCCTGCATCCTCCATGCAGCTGAAAAGAGGGTTAAGTCGCTCCGTATAATGCAAGATGCAGGTGGTGACTGCCAAGTTCAGAGAGGTGGATCAAAGCTCATTCCTTCCTTATGCTGTGCACTATGGTCTGCTGCTATAGACCTTTTCTTTATCAAGCATGTTTGAATTGCTTTGCAGGGAATTTTCTCCCGCAGTCCTTTTAATGCAATCATAACAGAGCACCTCCTCCATTTTTTACTACTGCCAAGCAGAATTAATTTCTTTCTTTTCTGGTAAATGTCTCAGTTCAGTTAAGCATAATAAGGGGCTTGTATTTTGGCTTTGGGGGATTTTTTTTTTTTCGTCCCCCCCTTAATGTATTGGGGACTGTCTGGGGACTAGTGATTACAACAATTTCCTAAAACCAGGCGAGGAGTAGGACCACGGTCTGAGAGAAGTCTCTAATGCTGCTCTCAGGACTGCACACACAAAACTGCAATCTCTTATCTTGCCTTTTCAGGTTATGCAAGCACAGTTTGCTCAGGACAACAATCCAGATGCACAAACGCTTCAGAAACTGGCAGAAAGAACAGGCTTGAGCAGGCGTGTCATACAGGTAACTGTGCTAAGTTACTGGACTAACAAAGTCTGGTACTCATCCATTGGAAATGCTTAACGACAATTTTCTCCATGTAGTTATTCTGAGATGGAAAAAGATCTAACCTGGCAGTTTTAACGTAACTTCAGACAACATCCTTAGTCAGGAATAGGTCTAGAACAAACATGTTAATTTGGAAAACTTGCTGTATTCCTCTTGCACTTTGTGTGGAGGATTAATAATCTTTCAGGAAGAAACTTCTCAGCCTAAATATATAGAAATTGGCAGTCTTCTAAATATAAATTCCTGACTTTAGCAGCCTGTTCTTAAGACCTGCACTCTTTTTGAAAATGGCTTGTGGTATGACACATTAGGAGTAAGTGAGTATCTAGTGACCTGTTCTAGAGAGCAGAGTTAAAATATATACCCATGCCATCCAGAACTGAGAGAAACACAAACTTAGAATCTTTGCTTGAAGATGCCTCTCAGCAAATATCATATGCATGCTCTTTTTATACATAAATATGAATTTTTATATAATATAAATTATACATTTATATGTTTATATAAATAAAAATAAGTTTGCAGTTACCTTGGCTCATTCTAGCCTGGAAGATTGACAGAGCGTTTCTATAGAAACGAGGTATCTGGCAGCTGCGATCAAGCCTTAAAAAAGCGGAAGCTTGCACACTTCTCAATGTGAAAAGGAAAATCGGTATCCTGTGTGAAAAACCTGCTTCAGTAGTGTTCAGGCACGGTTTTTTCCGTCTCCCATTACGTGCCCGGGCAGCGGTGCGGGGCTGCGGATGCCGTTGCTCAGCCTGCCCCGGGAGCCGGGCCTGTCCTTTGTGGGCTGCTGGTCACTGCAGAAGCTTTCCTGACGGGACCACGCTTGTTTGAGGCACCATGTAGGCGTAGAATGAATACATCTTCATTTGGACTGTCGGTGTTACGGTAAAGGCCCAACTAACTAACTGAATTCAGCTGAAGTTAGAACTCTGAGGTTTTTATTACGCTACTGTTGAAAGAGCATGCAATCTATCAACATGATGTAAATTCTTCCCCCTTTTCAGGTGTGGTTTCAAAATTGCAGAGCACGCCATAAGAAACATGTTAGTCCTAATCATTCATCTACTGCTCCTGTCACAGCAGTTCAGCCCTCCAGGCTGTCTCCACCCATGTTAGAAGAAATGGCATACTCTGCATACGTACCCCAGGACGGGACTATGTTAACTGCTCTACACAGCTATATGGATGGTAGGTATAACAACTTTGCCTATCCAAGTAAAATCATTATTGACTGTAGCAAGAACAGTTTACCAAGTACCGATTAAAGAAACTTAATGGATTTTTAATTTGTAGTATTCTTCATAGAGTATCTTAATAGTGTACTTGCTATCTACACCTCATTACGAAGTGTGTCTCTTCAAGCAGTAGCCCTTCACTGTAAGAGCGTAGCTGAAGATCTGGGTATGAAGACCACTTTTTGTGCTTCCTCCAAACTATGCATGCTAGTAAGAAGAAATCAGACACTTCTTAAAACCTTTGTGCCACGTGTTTAATAATATCTAATTTTAATGAAAACCGTTTACCACCCACTCCCTGACTCCAACCCTGAGGACTGTAGGTATCCTCAATCCAGCAGCTTCACTGAAAACTTGAGCTTCCCTCACAGTAACGCTTGTGGGGCAGCCTGGTGGTCACAAGTACGTTTCAGTCATTGCACGTCTTACCACCCAGCAAGTCAATGACTTTGGCTCGTATTTGTGACTAGGAGAGACTGTGGAGGTTTTGGGAGAACTAGACTGAGCCGCACACGTGGCCTGAGCTTATTTTTCTCCAAAGCAGTGGTGTAAGGTTGGGGAAGTGTGAATGCTGGGCTAGGGAAAACAGAGCATGCTGCGGTGGTTGGGACCAGTGAACGGTTATTACCCAATGGGATTTACTAGCTTATAATCTTTTCCTACCTCCGATGAAGTTGACCAGTAAATATTTCTGTTTTTGTAGCGCATTCACCTACAGCTCTTGGACTCCAGCCTTTGCTACCCCATTCAATGACACAACTGCCAATAAGTCACACCTAATTCCTTTCTGTCAGGGATATAAACTATTAAGGATGTAACCTTAAGTCATTTATTGTGTATTAAAAATATCATTGGAAAGATATTAATGTTAACTTTTTATTTAACATCTGAAGCATTTTCAAGATCGTTTTTGCTGCCCAGGTATGTAAGTATATTTAGCCTGCAAGACACTTTTATGGATTCTGCATAAATAACTATTACATTGTTTACAAGCCTTATTAAACACTTTTTTGTATTGTCTGGAAGTAGTCCACTCTAGTTATGTGTGTGTTAATTTATTTGTCATCAAAAGAGCACTTTGCCTAAAAGAAAGGACTGACAATTGTGCAAAATGTTTACAATTCTTTGTGAAATTGTAGTTTATCATTAGTTTGTATCTGTAAGTTATTGCTAAAAGTATTACTTGTATTTGAGTTGTATACAGCCTATATGTTAAAGCTTATTTCTGTGAGTTTACAAAAATAAATTTTGGTTGCAAATATTTTCAAAATGAACTGAATAAAGTTACTGCTGTAGCATGCTAAGCAAAAATGTTGCTGTGTTTATGGCTGAACTGGCATCATTTGTGAAGTGCTTAACTTGAATCTTCAATTTTAAGAGAAGGTCCCTGGTACACTTAGTAAATTACACCAAACTCAGGAGTGTTCTTATCTGTCTCAATTGATCTTAAAAATCCTTTAATCGGCTTAGATGGGTCTTGAAACACACCAGATAGGTACTACTTTAAAGTAGGTATAGGCAAAACAGTGCTGCTCCTGAGGGTGCACACCTGCAGGGTGAGGGAAATGGTGGATGATAGGAGAAATTTTTAACTGTGATTTAAGTCGGCAAGTGGAGAACCTAAGTTTGCACCTCCTTTAACATTTTGAATTTTTACTACTTCTGCTTCTGGTTTTTTCGGTGGTTTTATCTTGCAATTTTGTTACGCAGGATGGTAACTAACATGCAATACTTAAACAGAGTCCGCATTTTTAAAGTAAAATCTAGTTCAGTGTTTTAACTGACCTGTATCAAACTGCATATGAACAGAGATTGGAATGCAGTCAAATGCACAAAAGTCTGTTTTTTAAACTGTTAATGTGCTAAGACTTAATTGCAAAGCATGTTTTGATACACTGATTTGATGGACAAAGGCTAGTGCATACTATCCATTCAACTGATTTTTGTCTTCACAGACTAGTTTCCTTCAAGGGTTTAAGATGGGTAGATCCCATCTCCACACCTTAACTTTACTTGCATCAGATGGAAATCATACTTTCGAAGGTGTGTGTGTCCACGTTCTTTTTTTTTCCCTCTCCCAACTATGAGTTAGTGTCTCTACTTTGTGAAATTTAGCTGTCCTGGTCAAACCATTTCAACGTGGAAAAGGTAGTATTCTCCCTGCCACCATGGAAAGATGATGGCTTTTGAAAGCATAACTTTAATGGCAAGCTCTAAATTATTCAAGTTCTGAAAATTAAATGTTGGCATGTTTCAAGTGCTACTCACAGATGTCTGAGCTAATCTGAGTAGCAAAAGCAATCTCTTTGCACTGGCACAGCGGTTTGTCTAGGCTAATACTATCCTGCCACATTTTTTTCACAAAAAAGTAAGGACAGGGGGTGTGGTGGAACTTGGCTGACTTTACGTTTTATTCTAACATACATAACTTCTTAGTGAAATACTCTGGGTGGAATACCGAATTCAGTGTGGTGTTTTCAGTACCTAAGCTAGCTCCATATATCTGCATGATACAGAACTGCACGCATAGCAGTAGACAAACTGGTTTTTGTTCATTTGTTGGGTCTGATACGCAAGTAGGACAGCCTTACTGCTGAAGTTTTACCAGTTAAACACTATATAATGCTAATTTAGATCTTAACATAACTTGGCAATTTAAAATACTATCCAGTTGTCTTGTTTTAAAATGCAACTTGACTTATATCAAGTCCCTTTAAAGAAAAGTAATTATTCACTCTAATTTGAAGGACTAAGAAGCTTTAGGTTGCCTAAAACAAAGTCATTCTAAGCTTATTTATGATACACCCCCTTCTGTTCAGTTCCAGTCAATGCAGGATTAAAGTAAATGGGGAGCAATTTTCCCATTTCCCTATGAAAATAGGAAGCAGGAGAATTAATCTTTTGATACTGTGAATGCTCGAGCAGCTATTTGTAAGTGCAGCTGGGAAAGCAGAGTTGAAAGTAGGAAGCTCCCGCAGAGGATCTGGACCGTGGGGTCTTCCCTTGGAGAAGGTCAGGCCTGTGGCGCTGGCTGAGGTCGGCTGCCCGCAGCTGGTGTTAGGCTGTGGGGCTGACGAAGCATGCGGAGAACTGAAGATGGCTTTAGTCTGCGGCTCTCAACTGAAGCTGTTGCTGTAGCCTGCCTTGCAAGTTTTGGATGCCTGTCTTTTTCTACTGGTTGTGCGCTGGCTTGCATTTGTGACTTTGCTGCTGAGCGCTTCCGACCCTGGAGCCGTCCAAGAGAGTAACTTGGATATTGCCATGCTGAAGAAATTCATGGGATCTCTTTAAAGGAGGAGAATGCAGCTACAGCAGGAACATGTAGTATGCTGAATCAGGGCCTTTTAGTCTGCACAGGTCCAATTTAAAACTGAAATGTTGTATGAAATTAGCATATGAAATAAATTGGTCTTAACATCTTGCTTAAAAGTGACCTGTCTTGAACAGAGAACAATATAGAGCTCTGCCTAGCGCTCTGCTATGTGGATGCTTTTGCAGAGAATTGTATTTGTAATATATTCTCTCTGATCCTAAAGTGTTTGGCCTACAAGGTAGGATGACCATATGGCACTCGCTAATAGCTTCAGTGCAACATATCTTCAGAAATCCAAAATGGAACTAAGGACGCAAAACAAATTTTGCATCAAGAGGTTCTCAAAGGAAGAAATACCACTAAAAAAGTTAAAGTTGTGTATCAAAAGTACTGTGAGAAGACTGGCTATAGACTTCCACTCCTTTCCCCCTTCCTTCCCTGATCTGTCTAACCAACGTGAGTTGGGGCTGGTCACGTATTACTGTGTACTGGAACAAGTAACTACACTGTGAAATAAAACTTAAAATGTATTATATTCAACCTACTGTAGGAGGAGGGAGAAATATAGATGAAAAATAACCTCCTAGTGCGAATTTCACAGAATCTCTAAAGGATATCTATTTATTATTAGAAGTTAGTAGTATTTCAGGTTGCAGAGTAAAGAAATAGTCTATTGCTACAGCATCTTCAAGATCTTTCGGAAATATTTCAAACTCTGCATTTAAATGAAATACTGGAATCTAGATGTTTTGAAATTCCAGCTACTCACTGGAAATATGGGTTTGTGTTCATGTAAAGATAAATCTGAAAAGTACTTGGGCATTCTCCAGTCTGCTTTTCACCCCAAGGCACAATGAAATATCTTAGCTACTGCTAGTAGAGATGTTTGACTAATCTGTTCTTAAATGTCTCCAATAGTAGAAATTTTTACAGACTCCACAGGAAATCTGGTACTTTCTTAGGGGGGGGAAAAAAAATCCAACAAAAGAAAATCCCCAGTCTTCTCGTCCCTGCCAAACAAATCCGATTCATCGAGTTTTTCATACCAAGTCATGTTTTCTAAATGTCTAACCGTTTCTGTGCTATTTTCTTTGTCCATCTTCCTGAAGCATGAAACTCGTTTTAGCCAAGCCCTTACTGATGCTCAGCGGGAGGGTTAGGGCATGTAAGTTGCTCACTGCTGTATGTTCCGGGATGATGACTGTGTTTCTTCTAATAACGCTGCCCTCCACATTCTGTTTGTGACCAGCTGTTATCTTGTCTCCTGTTTACTGTTCTCCATAGATTACTGCAGCCTAGGTAAGCAGCTTCTATTTTGCCATACTGAGTTTCACCCTGCTGCTTTCTTACTACTTCTCAAAGTTTTCAAAATTATTTTGAATTCCCATTCTGAGCTCCTCAGTACGGCCTCTTTTGTGTTCTCAAAAATTCACTAAGAATCTCTTTATTCTGTCACCCAGGTAATTAACTAAAATACTGACTAGAACCTGATCCTTCGGTAATTCAGTTTTTCAACAGGAGAATGTATTGCGTGAACTGCTTACGACGACTTATTTTCCAACTTTTCTATCCTAGGTTATTTCCCTATCTCGCTTATGTCAGACTGTGACATGTACAACTTCTTGACCACCCACTCAGCTGTCACCCTTGCTAAGAGGAAGCTGAGCTGATTCGACAGTCTCATTGTTTGTATTCTTGTTATTGCTGGTGTGGTTAAGATTTTAAAATTCTTGAACAAAATAATTAGACTGAAATGAAACTGCATTACTGGATTCCCTGGCTTTCCTCTGCCCATTTCCTGGGCTGTAGGCACTGTACCAATGCTTCTTTCTCCTGGTGTCTCTCAAAAATAAGAGTTAATGCTTTGGAGAGGTTGCTATCTGGCTCAACTGTCCTAGGACAAAATGCAGCAGGCCCAAGCTACCTGAAAACATTTAGTTTGAAATCGTCTAGAGAGCTTGCTTTTCTTGGCCTTGGTACCAACTGTATGAGTGACTTACGTTTGGTTGGTTGGGGTTTTTTTGGTCAAAACTGATACAGGTGAAGGTCTAGTTTGGCCTTCTGGTATTCACTGCCTATAGTTTTAACTCTGAGTAACAGATCAGCACTAGCTGTACTCTTGATTATATTTACTAATAAATGTACACAATGCTGTCTTCTTTACCCTTGCTGACATTTGCTAATGCTGCCTGATTTTGTGAGTTGGCTTTTTGTCTAGAAGTTCATATTGGTTTTTGTATTTGCATTATAGTAACCATAACTACTTTCTGCATCCTTTCTACGATTACATCTGAAATTGAAGAGTTGCTTAAAGTTTAGGCAAGTTGATCTTATTACACTTCCTTTATTCATTCATTTTTTGTAAGTATAGATAACTATTATGAATAGTTTTCATTTCTGAAGAAACTGATGATTCTTGTCATACAAGTCACTAACAGCATGATAACCGAGCTTTTTCAAAAAATGAAAACAGTTTATCATTAGTTTAAATGAAGAGCAGAAAAAAAACCTGAACTGGTTCAATTTCTGAAAATCCGCATCTTAGTTATGTGTGGGTGAGTCTCCAGAATAGTAACATCTAGGGACAGAGAAAGAGAGCACAAGATTGATAACGAAACACAAACTGCCTCTAAGTTGTTAATAAATTGATTTATACTGAAGTGTATGTTTGCACATTTTAACTCTCCTATTTCCTTTTAAAATAAAATTAATAGTTACTGAAAACATACCAGTCTGTTAACTTTCTCTTTCACATGTTCTTGGGTACAACATGAGAGAACAAGACGCTGTAGAGGGTATCAGCTGCACTACTGTATACTTTTAACTGGCTCAAAACAATGGAATGCAATTCTAACATTCATTTCAGAGAGCGACCTTCTGTTGTCTTATGTAGCTATCCTGGTTTCAAGCAGGATAGTTTTTCCTTTAAGTTATAAGAGGATGCCTTTTCAGTTATAGGTAAGGTTGTAACTAATGCTCACCCGACTAAGAAATGCTG